CATACAATGAATGATATTTTGAAATGCAGAAAAGAGCACGCTTTTTATCTGTTCACTAACGAAATCTTCACTTCAATTTATTTACAGAATGAGATCCGAGAAACACAAGATCTAGTGAATCGAAGACTCAAGCTACAATGGATATCACAGGGACTTACAATTTCACGAAGGAGTAAGTAGGGATTTATTTCAGCGATATTTTGTTTGAATCAAAACATTTTTTGACGCGTTCTATAACTTTGTTGCACAGAGAACGTGCTAAACCCTCGAAAACAAAAGAAGTATAACGACTTTTTTGAACAGAAAAATGAGGAATAAATCTCATTCTATGTCTATCCTTTAGTTTATACAGTGGCAAACTTCTTACATATTTATTGATTCCTTCTCGACTATTATGCTTCTATTATTTTGACACTCATATTATTTCACTAATGTAACAGCTGATAGCTAATTCACATGATTCGTCTCAACCTGACATGTCGTACGAATGAACAATCTGCCACAAATCATTGTCGAGCATCAGCAACTCTTCTCGCGCTAGAGTATAACTCCTTGACGGTCAATAATATTGAAGGTGTCAGTCTAAAATTATAACTAGACCAGCATCAAAATAAATCAGTCTTTTAGGTGTGGGTGTGAGTGTGGATGTGGGTGTGGGTCACAGACTTTCTTACTACACCTACACCCACACCCACACCCTTTTTTTCTTAAAAAGTCTGTTTTTGCTCAAATTTTGCTTAAGTGTTGTTATTAGGGACAAAATTTAGCTGAGTGTTGTAATTATGGAAAGTGTCCCTAATAACAACAGTAGCAGTCCGTTATCGTAGACCGCTGATTTCTCCGTCATTACATTTCAGAGAAAGACCGCTGTTACACCATTTGAAAGAGGAGACTCCATCGATTATGCATATATAAAAATATTTTCAGTCGGGTGTAAAATAGCTGAGAACCGAGTCGAATAAGGAAGAAACTTTTTTTAGCGTTGTTATTAGGGACATTGACTGTAGGGATTAGGTTTGACATTTGTTCTTCAACGATTCAACATTCTTCTCACAAGATGCAAATAGAATCTTCTCTGGATTTTTTTCACTTTAGGAGTTCCACATAGTGCATTATTTTATTGCTTAAATTCTTGTCTGATGTTCATATAAATGATCATCCTGCAAAACAATTCTGAATTCTCGCAATTTCGAATAAAATCTTCAGGTCCCTGTGTTTTTATATCAAAAGCTGGCGTCGAATAGCATTACTCTTTCTCGGACAAAGCTCCTTACAGCAATCTTCAGATGTAATTTTGAGGGTCAAAAATATTTTGTCAAGAACTAAAAGTAACATAGATGTAAGAATCGTTACCAAAGCCTTTTTTCTCATAGAAAACCAGGAAAAGACTTCTGAATTTTTATCTGCAGAACAAGCATTCTCAAAGACGAATATCGTATTTGTAGTGCTTACTCCCACGAGAGACGAAATCCCTTCAACAACGACGATTTCTTTTCTTTTTCGTTCATTGTAGTAAATCCCAAGATTCCAGTTGATGCTCGATGGGCACAGAATGGTGTGACTGTTGCTGGAGGCCACGGACACGGCAATGCCACCAATCAACTCAGCTGGCCTCGTAGTCTCTTCGTTGATGATGATCAAACGATGATCATTGCTGACTATGGGAATCGTTGTATCATCCAATGGAAGATGGATGATACGTACGGACAAGTGATAGCTGGTGGCCATTGCGAAGCAAATCGATTGAATCGATTGAATAATCCAACCGATGTGTTGATCGATAAAGAGACGGATAGTCTCATTATTTGTGATCAAGACAATCGACGAGTCGTACGATGGTCTCGTCGTAGTGGTACAACTCACGGAGAAATCCTCATCGACAATATCTGGTGTTGGGGATTGGCCATGGATGATCAGAGATATCTCTACATCACTGACACCAATAATCATGAAGTAAGACGATATCAAATTGGAGACAAGAATGGAACTATCGTGGCTGGTGGCAATGGCAAAGGTGCTGGTCTCAATCAACTCAAAGAGCCGGGATACATCTTTGTCGATCAAAAACAGGCTGTCTACGTGTCAGATTGGGGGAATAATCGTGTCATGAAATGGAATAATGGTGCAAAAGAAGGAATTGTCGTCGCTGGAGGTCAAGGCGCAGGGAATGCTGTGACACAATTGTCGCAACCTAACGGACTGTTCGTCGATACATCGGGTACCATCTATGTGGCAGATGCGGAGAATCAACGAGTGATACGTTGGCCTCAAGGAAAGAAACAGGGCACTGTCATTGTGGGTGAAAATGGCCGAGGAGCACGAGCAAATCAGTTCAAATACCCCTGTGGTTTGTTCTTCGATCGACATGGCAATCTCTATGTCGTCGATAAGGGGAATTATCGTGTTCAACGATTTTCAATCGAAGAGACTCAAAATTACGATTAATTTTCCTTTCCTTTCTCTCAAATAAATCACGTCCAATTCATGAAACAAATGGCTATTCTATTTTCGCGCGCGTCCAGGAACCATTCTGGTGGAGCCGTGGCGAGCGTAACGCTCATGCACGCACAGGACAGACTCAAATCATTCACATCTCTCCCACTTGAGAGATATGTAAATGAGTTTGTGGAATGCCGGTCGTGTGCCACGGGCACCAAGATAGCTTCTGGCCGGTATTTTAGGACCTATTCGGAAGGCCTTTAAATAACAGGGTCTCATCTCAATGGACATGACTCATCCCCCTTCCCACTAATACTCACTTTGCTGAAGCTCACTTTAACCTTCCTCAATCTCAATGTCACCATATATCCCCATCCCCTCTCTCATCCTATTCTCTTTCTCAAAAGAAAAAAAAAGTTATTACTCACTTCCTTTTAATGTTGGACGATGATGGTGTTGTTGATAAGAATGCGATGATATTGACGACTACAAGAAAAAGAAAAAAAAATGAATGTTATATAATGAAACAGAATGAGATAACTTACCTTACTGTTATCTTTTTCTTCATTATTTATTCCCTAAAATAAAAAGAAAACAATAATAAAAAGGGTACCCCTACACTTCGTCTCCTACTTTTCGTCTTATTACTTTTCGTCCCATACAATTCGTCCCCTTACTATCCGTCCCAATTACATTTCGTTCCAATTACATTTTGTTCCTTTACAATCCGTTTCCTTACAATTTGTCCCAAATAGTGAGTATTCATCTACATTACAACAATATGAAATAAAGTTTATTTAAATTAAATTCAAGTGCTTATTTTCAAGTTCATAGCAATTCGAGTTAAATATTCCTCGATATTGTTACCATCATAAGACAGCGCGATTATTTTCAATCGTGCATCAAGATTTGCATAAATTTTTCTTTTTTTTTTCGTTGTTCACCTACACGAAGTCGTTCAATATCGATCTCGAATCTAGATTGTTCACGTAATATACATTTTGCAAGGTTAGTTACAGAAGGATGTTTAATTGATACACGATTATTGAATGCATGGTGCTATCCCTCGACAGCGTTATTAGATCTTGGCAAGTCTTGTGTAACTCTCTCATAAATGTTTCATAATTGTAAACTAAATTTTGGTTTACCACGTCGGCTACCTAAATTAGCGCTATACACTATTAAATACGTCAAACATATAAGTCTAAAATGACACAAACCTCTTTCTTTTGACCAGCCGATACACATTCAAAATAATCAAGTAGAGGATAATCTTCATAATCAAAATCATTCTTGATAGATGAATAAGCTTTAAGAACATCAGTGACAGGTACAAATGCAAGACTCACTAGCTTTTTCACGTTCATTCGAGATTTATCATCATTTGTGTACTTAATCTGTAGACCTAATGATTGTACTTCTCTCCACAAGCGCTGCCCAAAATGAAATTGACAACCTATATTTATTGAAAAATAATTTTTTGTTGAGAAAAAATTCGTATACAAAATTACTTATTTGAATAGCGTCCGAAAATATTGCTTTAGTTGATTTAAGTGTAGCACTTTCAAAATCAACCAGAACAGAATTAGGTTCATAATCATAATGTAATAACAGTTGTTTAAAAAAATTATTATAATCTTTAATATCTTTTCCGATCAATAAGACATACAAGAAGGATGATTTGAAGTGAGCACATTCCATGTACAGTAAATAATTGATAATAATTTTTGGGACATATCTTAAAACAAAAACCAATTTTATCAAAAGAACGCAAGAAAAACGATTACAAACACTAAATGTCCCATCCATGAACCAATGCTTGCATTGATCTAAAACCGACAGATTTTTATTACATGTAAATATAAGCATAGAATCATCTTCATATAACACGAAGTTTTCACTACTATCGGTTTAACGTAATATAAGAGGTAAACAACCATGATGATCAAGTTTCATAGGTGGTCGTTCACGACGAATTATTTGCAACAATGCATCATTTGTAGGGGAACCAGGAGTTGCTGTTAATGGAGTTGTACGTAATACATCAAATAATATCGTACTGGCTCCTTCATCTGATAATGTACCACGAAGTTTAATTTCATTTTTAAGTCGAATGACGTGAAATCGATCTGGATCAGGTACATGCGAATGTTCGTATGGTTCTTTAAGTAATATCTTGATTTGGATATTTGTTTGACAACGACCAAAAAATATAATATCAAATTTAAGACTGAATTTCATGATTTATACTTACTTCTACAATCTCGATTTGCACAACGAAAAATACGTTTTTCTTCTGTTATTCGATGTTGGGTATTAAAAAATCCAGAAAAATAAATCATAGGA